AAAGTAAGTTCTTTGATATATAATAAATTATAATATAAATCTAGACATACCAATTTTTTCTTGAGCATGCGATTCCCGCAACCCTGAAAGCTCATTATTATTCGCAGCTTCTTTATGTCGAAACCATAGGCTAAAACGGGATGTTCCTTTTGCTTCACTTTTTTCAGTATCTTCATTATTCTGTAAATATGCAATACAATATCTCAATTATCTTTACATTAATTTTGTTATATTAAAAATATAATTCTTAGGATATTAACGCTATAGCTTACTACCTGTTACTTAGCAAAAGGCAGTGCAGGGATATAGAGATATGCTAGCGGCTGTATTCCAGATTGTGAACACGAGCCACGATTAGCGTTATTGTTTGCCAAGTTCATAGTAAACTTTTAATTTTTTAAAACCTTTCTCTACAATGTTTCTGCAGGGTTTTATATATTTTTTTTTTCTAAATAAGAAGACGACCTGATTAATTATTTAAAAATGTGGTTATATGGACAGACAGACAGACGGACAGATTGCCTAGTCGATCTGAGTGATCGTGATTAGGAATATATATTTTTATAATTTAAAACGCTTCCTTCTACGTGTTACATACTTTGCAACGAATCTAGAATATCCTCTAACTCCACATAAACATTTCCTTTACAATTTATTCGAACACTTTTAATAATCAGTCAGAAAAAAGTAACACGGAAGTTGTCTCTAACTTGTTAAACGTTGTTTTTTATGTTAATTTTTTTTCTGTTTTTTAACGTAACGTTCATAAATCAAGTTTTAGCGATATATTTACCAAAAGAGAATTATCCAAGGGATGCATGTTAAGAAAGGCATCAAAATTAAATTCACTTTCAGAACTCTGACTGGACTGCATCTGACTCGGTTGGTTTTTATTGTGATGACCGAGATCCGTTGAGTTTTGAATAAAAGTCACATTTTCCCCGCTGTCTTTCATTTGGTCACTTGGGTTTGCATCGCACAAATTTGAACTGACGTTGCTGTTTCTCATCGAAGCATTATCGATGGTTGCTTGTGTAGCTAAATTTTTGCTAAGTTGTTGAATTTGATCATTTTGATCTCCTATTTCAGATCGCTCTTCGTTGATTTCCAGGTCGTCAAAACCGTGTAGGTCAATAGTTTCAAGCTGTGATTTAGGTCCTGCACTGAACCATTCAGGTTCTTCGTGAATAAGATAGGAATTGGCGCGCTTGCCACGGCTTTGATTACTAAAAGTCTCCTTACCAGATATGCGTCGATTATTAATTCCCTGACGATCAGCAGGCTTTTTGGAGTCATATTGAAAACGACGATCTGTGTGATCGAGAGCACGTTCAACTGATTTCCCACTGATTGTTCGAGAACGATGCTGACTATTATTATGCTGATTAAAACTGCTTGTACCTCCAGATCCATTCAGTGACGTTTCTTTTTCATTCTCAATGCTGGCTTCCATGGTGTTCTGGTTTTTGTATTCCCAATTATCACTTCTTGGCAACAGGCGACCGCTACCAATTCGCCTTTCTTGACGGGATGTTGAAAATGTAGGTGAAGATGACAAGCATTGGTCTTGATCCGGTTGAGCATAATTTAAACATGTTCCAGCAGTATCTAACTCGCTACCCTTACGACTAGGAGAACTGGGTGCTTTGCCCTTGCTTGCACAAGTGTTTACTATCCCCTCGTTGCTGTCCGCGCTGTTGCCGCCTTTCGATATGACAAAACGCTTCTTTGCAAATGCCGGCATTAAATGGGAAGATGATATGCTACGATGATCGATCATAGTCGACTTATAGGGCTGTCCATGAGACAGCGCGTCTTTATCCTTTTCCTCCCCGCTAATTAGAAGAGAATCGGTAGGTACAAAGCGCTGGTAATAGTTGTTTGCCCGCTCTCGATTTCTCATAGCGCGACGTGAACTAATAGAGCTGCTATTGGAACAAACTAAGGTCGAGTTATCTGCTTCCGGAGAAAGTCGGTTTTTGTTTTGATTACAATAGGTGTTGGACACGGTTAATGCAGCTGTGCTCAAATTTATTTTCCAAAAACCTAAGGTCTGTAATTCAAGTCGACTTGCACATTGCGGGCGCTGTCGGCTTTTACCTTCATATCTTAGACCTAACAGATCTGATTTCGAGTACCTAAATAAATAAATTAAAACAATGTTAGTATCATGATTGCATTGCTCAGTATATACAAATTTTAATTATGAAACTTTAATTTTAAAAACACTATACGAGAATAATAAATAGCGATAAAGTTGACCAAAATGTAACATAAGGCTTAGCGCACATACCTGGCACTCAGTTTTGATGTATCCATTTCTGAGGACTCTAGTTCACTCTGTAACGGCCAACCTAACTTGATACAGAAACTCCCTAAGTTATAAATCAAAAAAAAAATTGTCGAAAACAATTAAGAACGGAACACTCGTTTATATGAACGGAAAAAAACGTACACTGAATATACAAATAGTACGCACCACTTATGCAAACACACACGAAAGAACTTATATATATATATAAGTATTATAAGGCCATATATATTATTAGAATCGCTACTTATTAATACATCCAACGACGTTAATATAAACAAATATTTTTCTTAATCCTGATAATGTTGCGATTAGTTTTGTGAAAATCACGCTAAATTGAGAGTTGGATATAGACATTGAAAATACTTCATTTCTATTGCAACTTAAGGAATTCTAAAATATTTTTATTGAAACAATGAAAGAGGAACTAAAGATATATAATTGATTATAGCGTATTCTCATTAGATAATCACCGTGAAACGGTAGATTGTTGGAGAAATGACATTCGTGGGACACGAAATTTTAAGGGTGTGTGTGATCAGATATATTCTTGATCAGGATCACTACTAGATAGCTGATCTAGGCAAGAGAAGATTAAAAGTTTCTTTTTCAAAAATGTATAGCTTGTAAAGACAATTATACTTTATAAGTTTTAGGGATATCCCTTCATTTGCTTAATATGATAATCAATTAAATAAAAGAAATTTTGCGCGATTTACGATGGGGCACTGAATAAAATTAAAAAAAGGAAAATGTGGGCTTAGAACAAAATTCAGAAACGCTATTTAAGTGTAAACGGACCCCATGCGTTTTGTAAGCCATTTGTCCGCACTGTAATGATGCAGAAACATCGATAAAGTTTATTAATCTCTATCGATATTTTTGGTGCATTCACTGTTTAGAGATTATATCGATAATATTCTATAGGTTTGTAATATGTTACATTAACATTTATATATAATAATCTGTTTGCAAGACATCCATTAGGCGCGATGATGTGGCACATTTAGATAAAACATTTAAAACTGGAAAAATCTATGCTCGCCGTATTACACACATACACTTTGCAGATGGGTTAACTTTTTCGTAGTGTGAAGTTTGAAATTAAATATCAAATAAAGTTTTGTTAAATAATTTTAAGAAAAATACCTAAACAAAGACTTTAAATTGATGCAATATACAAAAAAATGGGGTAATGGTATGCATTAATGACGAAACCATTTGTGTTTAATGTAAGTAAATCTAAGTAAACGAGCGAGTAAATGTCTCAAATCTTTTGTCGGCGGTCTGGCGAAACTTGCACGCAATAGGTGCTCGAGGGACTTTGCCAATTGGTCTGGGTGCACGCTGTCCAAAAAAAAGCGCGACATCCGCGTTCACACATTGTCATCTTCTATCACAATCAAGCCGGTTTTAGAGTTAAATATCTATTTTTAAAGGGCTTATAAAAGGTAGCTTAGTTACTTTCTTTTGCTAATTTATACATATATTGCTACATATCCCCAATCCCAATCTTTTGAACAAATTATCGGATTGATAATCGTCGGGTAGACCTCTAGGATTGATAAAGATGAGAGCATAGTAGATCGTTAGGGAGGCAAAGTAGAGAGCACAGTATGAAATATATTACAAAGTCAAAACTCTAAAGGATACCGTTGTCAACTACAACTGTAGTAATACAGTTTTACAGGTAATGTAGAAAAAAAAAAACAAACGTAGTTTCCAAATTTATGGAGCATTTGAAATTATTTATCTTTTAAAGGCCGCCGGTTTAAGATAAAATATTTGACAAGTAAAAGTCAATAAAGACGTGCACATGAACATTTGCGGTCCTAACCAAATACAGGGGTACTGGCAGAGATTGTACAAATAAATATTTTCAAACATTTCACAACTACTTTAAAATGAGAAAGTGATCTACAATTACTTGGTCCAGAGGTGCTGTTTTTATTTTAAATAAAAAGTTTATGGAGAGAATAATAATTCCCCCCTGTTTGGTTGTGTTTGCTTAAATATCTCTTGATAAGTTTATATTTCAACAAGCGACATTATAAAACTGTATGTTATATTTCAATAGTTGGATATTTCAATCTTAAGACCTAGGAAGTTTAAAGGGCAATACAGTTTTCAATCTAAAAGTTAATTGTTTGAGTATTTTCGGCCAAAAATTGATTTCGTTGTGTTATTATTAGATTCGTTGAAAAGTATGTAACAGGTAAGAGAAAGCGGTTCCGACCTTATAAAATCCGACCAAAGAATCTTAAAATTTCTCGTTCGCTCGCACACTAGTTTTTATTCTAACTAGAAAAAATGGGTTTGATATTTATGCATCCCATTATAACTACAGCTTCTTATGCTGAGGTTTTTAGGAACAAAAAATTCGTTCAGGACTTTAAAATACCGTATAAGTACAAATTGACAAAAATTTACTTACCATTGAAATTCAGCTGCTGAGAGCGGATGTTATGTTTAATGCCACCAATTTTCTAAACGTAGCGACCCCAGCTTTGCTTTTTGTTTTTAAAAAATTTTTATTTATATTGTTTCTAAAAGTGTAATCTTTTTTTTTAACTTAAACATAAAGTTAAGCAATTTGTAATTATATACTTTTGTGTGTATTATAGTATCTAGTTTTTTTTTAGGCACCGTTAATAACAATTGTAAAATAATTTTATTATTGCAGTGCTTTTGAAAATTATTTATTTCTGATCAATTTCTTATTTTGAGCATAGCGTTAAGATCCTTTTAATCAATAAGATTGATACATTTTCTTACTTCTAAGTGATTTTTTATTTCTTCAAAAATTACTTAAATTCTAGACAATTTTTATTTCCAGAAGTTTGGTAACAACATAATGGGTCAACGTTGCCGACTTGATAACTCCATTTATTAGACTCCGCCACAGAATTAGGGCTAAAGGATGCCGCCTGCTGAGCTTGTTGAGGACGAAACGACTGCGTGTGTGATTTTAAAAATACTGGGAAGGCAACATGCTGTTGAATTTGTAAACTGGATGATAGTTCATTAGCAGCTAAGCCCCTTATTAGCGATTTCTCACTAACATATTTTGAAACTGTTCTTTTGGAAAGACATCGATCCTTATGGATTTTGTCTTTTTTTCGGCGAGTTAAAACTTTTATATGTCCATTAATTCCTTTTGTCTCCTGAAAAGAAAGATATTTAAAAAACCAATTTTTTGTACAAAATAGCGGTTTATTACGCTGTTAGTATATGCCCCCTTCCAGTCCAACTTATCATTTCGGTAAGATGTTTTAACATGTCCGTTCTTTTGCTTCCGCTCATAAATACTCTTTACTCGATGGTCGGTTTTTAAAATAAATATACATATATGTGTTTAAAAAAATAAACTTCAAACAATGTTCTGTTTTATTTTTGATAAACCTGAAACCTATAGAGTATAGCTTCCATTTAAAGTCGGAAGATGACTAGCTTATTAACGGAATTTAGAATCCCTAAATTCGTTTTTTGTGTTTAATCATAAAATACGAATAGATCACATTTCTTTTAATAAATAAAAATTAAAAAAAAATATAACCACACCTGAGCCTCCCTTTTGACCATTTCTCCAAAAGTGTTGCCACCAAAAATCGTACAAAAACGGTAGTTGCAAAAATTGATTCTTCAACTAAAGACAGTGCCAATAATAATTGATTGACAAAATCAATTTAATAATTTTACAAAAGCTGTTTAGTATGAAAGAGCCGTTTTCTTAGTAAAATTGTTACTTGCCTTTGAAGTGATAGTTTCATTATCGCCGAGCCTCATTTTGGATTTGGGAGACAAATCTGAAATTTTTATTTTCTCAGTTTGGAAAAGTGATAAGGAATGACTTGTGTTTTCAGTTGCGCATCGGCTGACATTTAACTCTATTTGGTTCTCAGCGTCTGTTGTAATGATATCGACATCTACATCGACATCTGCTTCTACATCTATATTTGTACTTGTTGACGGAGAACGGCTGGTACTTTCGCTTCCGGAAATAACGGCGTCCGGTGTTTTGGGGGCGTCAGCGTGTTGATCTGCGAATTTCCCTTCATCTTCAGTTGTCTCGATGTCCACTACTTCGTCGTCATCATCATTATCATCTGCATTCCTGGTCACACTGTTTGCTAAAACAGAAGCTATTGACTTCTCTGAAATACGTTTATTATAATAAAATTTGTGTAATATTAAAATTTTGCTTACTTTCTGGATTAGACTGAATTTTTCCTAAAAGTGGCGAAAAAGTCTCATGACCTACTATCTTATGGGAAGAGCCTGACATACTATCATGTGTTAAAACCGTTGTGGTTCTTGTAGATTGTTTCGGGTTGTTACAATCAGTTCGTTTCGAATCATTAGATCTGGTGTACAAGGACGTAGACACAATGGCTGTCGAAGCTACAACTGGTTTAAACGCAGAGCAATTAAGAATGGAAGGAATGTTATAATCGGGCAGGTTAAGCCCGCTGTTCGCCACTCCAGAGAGCTTACGGTTCTTTATAATGCCATAAATTGACGAATGGGACTCGTTTTTGATATTAAAAGAACAATTATCCAAAGTTCGAATTGAATTTGCATTCGGTAATGGATTATTTGTGTCTGGTCTAACCCAAGATCGCGGGCAGGAATCAAAGTCCAGGCTTGAGTCACTGTTGTCGCAGTTGGGGATTTTTCTTGAGTAAGGTTGCTGATAATGTTGGTCCTTCTGGTGCCACATGTAGTCCACTACAAAGTTCCTGGAAATTGGCATTATAGAAAGATCACGTTCATTGCGAAGGGAATGCAGAGGTGATAGGACGGTTGAGCCATGTAAATTAAAGGGAACGCCGACAGTTGCAGCTGCTACCGCCGTTACTCCAACTACAGCAGCGGCTGCAGCTACAGTACCGTAGTTGTACTGGTTGTCTATCTGCCGTTGTGGGAGCGAGGACTCCGATTCCCCGTCGACTTCCTTGTCATCTCTTTCAAAATTCGTTGGGGAGCCACATGAACTGCTGCCAACTCCCGAACTTACCGCCGTGGATGGCGTCGGTGAGCCAGGATTTCGATTATTAGTGCTGCTGCCAACAAGGCGCTTTCTTGTCCCGCCATTAAACATGGCTTTCACATCTTCCCATGCATGAATTATTTTCTCGTCGTAGTCATTTCCACTCAGAGACATGTGCCGACGCCAGGAATTAAAGTTCGCTGCATCAGGCTGAACGTACCTGTCATTAGTTGTTATGCGATGTGAGTGAAAAATAAATTTATTTGGCGAGAAAAACATGCCGCAATATGAACACTTAATGCACTTAGCCCTTGATGAATTGTAGCGAGAGGGAAGGAAGGATCCGCGGCAGCCCCAAGCACATTTGTGCTGGACGTTGAATGCGAAGTCGTCAGGAAGTCGTGGTGGTGCATTGTCGCCCAAAAAACTCTTGCATAGACGCTCCGCTTCCCTTCGGGTTATCATGCCACATCGTCGGGAACTCACTGGCATGGCGCCAGCTCTTCTCAATATTTCCAATTGCACGGGTGTACATTGTACACAAGTAATGCCCAGAGCAACTCTCCTGTTATGTATCTCGTTATAACTAAATTGTTTCAGTAATGTATTTGAGATTTGCGCCAAGCAAAGGCGCTCTTGACCTTCAATGTGCAAGGATACAATCTGCACTCCGTACAGCAAAACGGAGCTAACCTACAAATATTAAGCTTTCATTATTTAAAAATTAAAAAAAAAAATATACAATTTATTTCCGTAACAGGCTTAATTCGATTCGATGAAAAATATGTAAATGGTAGAAAGAGCGTTACCGGCCCTAAAAAGTATGTATGTACATTCTTTATTAGGATCATTGCTTCAGTCGATTTGGCCACATCCGTCTTAAAAAGCTATAAAGTTAAGATTAAGAATAGAGATTCCACAGATTTAGAAAATTACCACGCCCACCCTACTATTGAAAAACAATTTGATTTTTCGTTTTATTATTTGGCTTCCCATTTTTTTCTATATACGCACACTCTATTGCCTATAAACCGCCCAACACTGCCACGCCTACACTTTTAAGAAATGTTTTAATTCACATCCGGATTGGTCTGCTCCTTTTTGACTTTCTTATTAATGACCTTCCATTAGTAATAAAACATTCTCGTGTACTTATGTACGCAGAGGATGTTAAATTATGCAGTATAAGATTACTTATTGCCATTCGGACTTTCAATCCGATCTAGACAGCTTTGGACAGAAAAGCAGGGCTGATGATCCTGATGTTTTTCTGGATCCTAAGCTTACATTTGCGATCACCTGTTTGGAGTTCACAATACGGAGTTCACTCGGACCGCGATGAATCGGTTTAAAGAGACTTCTTTCTGTTTCTCTACGACGCCAAAATTGGGATGCATCATTTTATTACCTCCCCATTCCAACTGTTGTTAATTAAGTTAACTTCCCTAGCTAACCGTAGAGCGATGATTGGAATAGTCTTTTCTCGGTTACTGACTGCTTCCTATATCGAGTCTATCTTATCGCGAACCGAGACGCATGGGACCTGCGCGTTAAAAGAAATAAATATATATATAATATATAGTATATATATACTCCGACACTCTTCTGGTCCCCTTTTAGAAGTCACTACGTTGGGTGCTGTCCAACAGTGATTCGTCGTAGTCTTATTCAAATAGAGCATCAAAGAGGTTCCGTACGGACTGATGTCGGACATGTCGATAGCACTGGGTAATAAATTTAAAGCGCATATAATATGTAAGAACTAACATAAAATTATGCACTGAAGATTTATTTGTTTTCAGAGGATATCTTTTCATTCAGTGAAATCTTGTGTTATTCACAAAAGCACTAAAATATGAAGCTGTAATAGATATAATCAATCGCTGACCAGTGGCAAATTAAATATTGGAACATGGCATAGCAGATTTGGACACCTCTACCCAACTCAATTATCATGATGACTATGACCAATCTAAAACTCTTCGATCGTGTAACATGTAACATGATATTTTAATTTATATTTTAAGTATATAAATTCTAAACCAGGATCACTAGCTGAGTCGATCTGGCCATGTCCGTCTGTTTGTATAAAGCTATAAAGGGCTAGAGAGCTGAGATTAGGCAAGCCGATTCTAGAGACGAATTGATAGTTGGTTTTAGAAGATTGCCATGTCCAGTCTACACAAACGACCAAGCCGTCACACACCCAAACTTTTGGAATATTATTTTATTTTTTTCGATATATTATTTGGTATGCAAAATTAAAATTAAAAATTTCGGAAAATTAAAAGAAATGTGGTTGTTCACAGCACAGAAAATTAGCACGTTCGGTAATTACCAGGGAAAAAAAAATAAAATAAGACAACAGATATCCATTACTAACATAATGGGAATGCTGGTGGGAAAAATCGAGACATTTTTATACCCGCTACTCGTACAGTAAAAAGGGTGTACTAGATTTGTTGAAAAGTATGTAACAGGCAAAAGGAAACGTTTCCGACCATATAATGTATATATATTCTTGATCAATAGCCGAGTCGATCTAGCTATGCCCATTTTTCCAAATGTTGCCACGCCCACTCTAACGCCCTCAAATCGCACAAAACTCTCACTCCCACACTTTTTAAAAATATTTATAACATTTTTTAATTTTATTATTTGTCTCCAATTTCTACCGATATACCAGAAAATTTTACAATTTTCGTTAGCACTTGCACTAGCTGAGTACGGCTATCTGATAGTCGGGGAACTCAACTATAGAATTCTATCTTGGTTAAAAGTGTTTTAGCCTAAGCTCGCGACATATTGATTCTATAAATAAAATAAATAAATAAAATAAATAAATAAATAAATAAAATAAAAATCAATAAAACAAATTGTAATTGTTTGTGCCGTCCTAAAGGTTCAAATATTCCTGTTTTAAATACGTTTCAAATTTTATTGCATAACCGAACAGATAGTCATGTCAACATCAACATTTCATGTCAATTTATGTATATCATTTGAAACAGGTTTGCTTTTAATTATGGTATAGACATTTTTCTAAAGCAGTTAATTAGTTCAGTTTATAGCCTATTAATCACATCTGCAAAGTACATTACATTATGTTTAAGTAACAAAACAGAAATACTCTATTTTTAAAAAGACAACAAATTTGTGAATACTTATCCGTTCTCTGGTTGTTGTTGTTTTTATTAACGTCATGGTTTTTAGCCTTTTGTCAAACAGACATAAATCTAACCACGTAGAAAACGATTTCTCAAGGGATAGATTTGTTTTACTTGAATTGGTTTCTCCACCCTTAAAATTTTTTTAAATTGCCTAAAAATCTTAGAAGAGACCCTCAAACTAACACCAGTCCCTGAACCAAAAGACAAATTTCGACAAAGAATTGTCAGGAAACAGCCTTATCGCAATGAGCTATTAAATAAATTGTGACTGATCTATAAAGTATTCCAATCTATAAAGTTGGACATAGCTAGATTAACTCGGCTAATCATCTTAAACAAGTACATATGTATGTATATACTGGATAGGCAAACTGGAACCAAAATATACTAAATGTAATTTTATATCTAGTTTTCTGGTAATGTTTAGACATTTTGACAATTATTACATTAATATAAGTATATTTTTTAAGCTTTCGAACAGTTTAATATTCTGTAATCGTCAGTTTTAAATTAAACCATTTATAAAGGAGAAATATCCGCTCTACATACTTACACCGGCATCAGCAGTAATATACAATTAAAAATAAAAATAAATAAAAACCGTGTACTGTTATGAAGCCTTTAAATAATTTACCCACTGTTTACAATGTCAAAAACTTGAAACAATAATTTGCCCGTATTTGTTTGTTTGTTTGAAGTTAAAGTACATACGTACATGATTTATTTATATTAATCCATATAAAATAAGTAATCATATAAAAATAAGTATATAAAATAAGTAATAAGTAGAAGAGAAATTTCCTATAAAGTAGGACACAATGGACATTAAATAAACTCACGAATTACCTTAAGTTGATGTTCATGCATTACATAAATCTAAAATTGTGGGCCATGTTGTCACATTTTAGGCCACACACATTTAGGCCATTTCTGTTACATATACCATGCTAGTATACATATATATATTTACGAATTCAGACCGAGGGTTTGATAAAAAAAAAGAATGGATATTTGGATGTAATAATGGATATGTTACTTCCCCATCCTTAAGAAAAAAGCCTGTCCTCAATACATACAGGGGTATTTACTTGGGGTACAACGTTTTCTGTTACAGGGTGTATAATAGTTTGTCATGTATTGTTTCACTCAGTATGTTACTGTTTCTGGGTATGGTATTATTTCAAAAACTGGTGTTTTAATTATTTCTCTCGGAATGTGGGATATTATCAGAATTTCGTTCGTATCAGATTTAAGCCAAGCTGAAGTTTTGATATTAAGAATTTTTTCAGAATTGACATGAGTTAATGAATCGTGTTTTAAAAGTTTTGGGTTAAAGATACCTAAGCGTGTCAGTTGCAAACCAAGTTCTATGTCTTCTATGTATTCAGTGAATTGTTGTAGGTTGAAAATTACTAAGGCTAACATTTGTTCTCCTTCAAAGTTACTATTTAGATGATTGGTTAATTCAATTCCTTTATTAATGGCTTCTATTACGTGGTTGAGTTCGCTTACTTGTGCATTATTTTTAGAGATGTCACCTATTTGTTGTTGCAATTCTTTTTTATCTTCTTGATTTAAAGTGCCCAATAAGTATTTGTACATTGTTCCTATAAAATTAGCGAGACCGCGTTTACTACGTTTTGCAATTCTTATACCGTTCATTTCTCTGTTATGTTTTTCTGTTAGATACTGAATTTGTGGTAGAGTTTCAAAGATTTGAGTTTGCTTGATAAGTTCTTCATAAGTGTTTTCGGTTTTAGTTAAATTAACAGAAGAGTAGTGATATTCATAGTTTATTGGTAAATCTAATGATCCGGTTTGAAAGATTAGGTTACCGTTTTTGGCCTGGATAGGTGTTACTTCTAAGTATTGTGTGCTAATTGTCGATAGGAGGCATAACATGAGTATCATGCTCGGGAGTAGGCCTGGAATTATCGTTATTATATTTACTTTTATTCATTTTCTTTTTCTTTTTAAACTTAGATTTATAGTGTATTATTTTTCTACCTCTATTTGTTTCTTCAAAATGTTTTTCGTCTATTTGTCGTAAATTTCATGTCTTTTTGAATGGGTTAGTCGTTTTTGAATTACCTAGAGGGGATTCTCTGATATTGGTGTCTATACTGAAGTCTTGTCTAGTTTCATTAAGTTTGTTAATTTTGTTCACTTTATTTTCTTGTGTGTTATAGGAAAGGGTTCCTGCAAAAATAAAAATGTCTGCTGGTGTTCGACCAGTTGTGTTGTGTTTTGTTTTGTGATTGTATACGTAAAGTATTTTTTCGAATTTTGTGAATTGGTTTCCGGGTTCATTTTCGCTTGATATTATTCTTAATTTTTCATTAACGGTTTTATGAAATCTCTCGATGTCAGAAATTCCATTTTTACTTGTTGTTATATTTAAGTTTACCCTTTCTGAATCTAACCAGAGTTTAAGTGCGATGCACATGAAAGCGGAGTCTTTGTCGGCTTTTATTTCTATGGGTTTACCCATGTCGTTGAATATACGTAAAATAGCTCTTTTAGCTTCAAGCTAGTCTCTACTGTTTACTTCTATCAGGGAGGCGTATTTAGAATAAATGTCAATACATGATAGGAATTGTTTATTGTTTATTAAGTAGAAATCCATGACATATTTGTCTCTGGGGCTGAAGGCTTCTGTTGAATGTTCTGTTTGAATTTCTATTAGTTTGTTACTGGTTTTCATGGTTTTAATGAAATTGTCGGGACTTATGATTTGAATATAAGCATTTTAAAATATCTGAAAGTCGATTTCATTAGGGAAGTAAATAACACTTTTCTTATTACAGAAGTATTCTTTAATTAAGTCTTTAGCAAGGGTGTCGCTCATTTCTTTATAACTGATTTGTATTCTAGTTTTGTGGAAATATTTTATTATCTGGACGTCGTCAAAATTGTCTTTTATGAATTCGAATTGTCTGTTATAATAATTAAGGGGCCTTTCTGTTATTGGAATGTGATTTTGGTTATCTTCTGATGCACTATGTATAGTAGCTGCTGTGGGGAAGGGAGATTGGGTCATTTTCTCCTAGGAAGTTTTCTTGAATTTGAATTCTGGATAGAGCATCCGGAACATGATTTTTTTTACCAGGTAGGTATTGAATATTATAATCGTATTCGTTAAGTTTTATCTTCCATCTCTGTAACTTCATGTTAGGGTCTTTTATATTGTTTAGCCATACAAGTGGCCTATGATCGCTTAATATGTCGAATTTTCTACCGAATAGGTAAGATCTAAAATATTTTGTTGCCCATACTATAGCTAATAGTTATTTTTCTATTGCTGAATAGTTTAAATCGTGTTCGTTAAGAGTTCTGCTTGCATAACAAATAGGTTTGTGTTCTTGGGATAATACAGCGCCTATAGCTATATTACTTGCGTCTGTCGTTAATGAGAATTTCTTTTCTCAGGGTATATCAGGATTGGATCGGACGTAATGAGTACTTTAAGTTTCTCGAAGGCGGACATGTAGTCATTACCTTTTGTCTTAATTATTGCTCCTTTTTTCAATTTAAGTGTCATGGGTTTTGCTATTTTTGCAAAATTGGGAATGAACTTACGGTAGAATCCGCAGAGTACAAGGAAAGATTTTATTCCTTTTGTAGTTTTTGGGATAGGAAAATTAACAATTGCATTTATTTTGTTAGGGTTTGGTTTTATACCGTCTGTCGTGATAATGTGACTGAGAAATTCTTTTTCTTTCTTCAGAAATTCCCATTTATCAAGTTGCCATTTTAGATTTGCTGATCGTAGCTTATCAAATACCCTTTTCAATGACATTATGTGTGACATTATTATGTGAAGTCGAGTAAACGATAATATCATCTAAGTAGACTAAGCGATCCTTATAGATTAAATCTTCTAGAAGGTTGTTCATGCAACGTTGAAAGGTTGCTGGTGCATTTTTCAAACCGAAAGGCATACGAGTATATTCTTAATGTCCATGTTTTGTTGAGAATGCGTTTTTGGGTATTGACTGTTGGTCCATTTTAATTTGATGGAAACCTTTAGCTAGATCAATAGTTGTGAAGTATTGACAGCGTCCAAGCTTGTCTAATATTTCATCCATTACGGGAATAGGGAATTTGTCGTCAATGGCTATTTCATTGAGGTTACGAGGTAGTCTATGACTAATCGAAATTTTGGTTTGCCAGAAGCATCGCTTTCCTATGGAACAATTTGAAACAATAGGGGGATTTCGATTTCCTAATTATTTTTTGTTCTATCATTTCATTGATTTGTTTATTAACTTCTTGGTCAAATGCTTGGGGGTATTTATATGGTTTTTTATAGATAGAGTCTTCGTGCTTTGTATGAATAGAGTGTTTAATCGTACTTGTGAAATTTTCACCTTCTTTGTACTGAATATCACTGTATTCGAGCAAAACGTGTGAAAGTTGTTCCCTTTCTTCAGTATTTAGATGTTCTAATCTGAATACGTTGGATTCTCTTAACTCGTCGCTTAAGGCGTAGTTAGAGGATGTTACTAGAAGGGCCTCTACTATGTAAGGGGTAATAAGAGGATTTTCCTCAGATTCAGAAGATTTGAGACACTCATTGGTAGTCTTGGATTCTTCCGGATTAGATGGCTTTGGCTCATCTGGTTTTAAGTGGGGTTTCCGCTTAATTTTACGGAGGGTTTTCTCCTAATAATATATCATATTTTTTTGAGAAATTGTGAATAAGCAATGTTTGTTTAGTCGGACAAAGTTAGCTTGAATGCAATGAAACGCTCTGGCTCAATACTATAGTGCCATTTATAGTGTGGACTTTCATTTTAGAGAATTTTATTGGGAAATTAAAAAAATGTTGTTTCATAATATTGATAGACGAACCAGTGTCTACCAGGCATTTGAGATTAATATTATTTAATTTAATTTTTTGGAATGGATTACCTACTCCTCTGGATCGCTTTCTGATTCCGAGGCTGGTTGAAGAAAATTTTCGCTTGTGTCCATTTTGTATTGACACACTGCCATTTGACGGGAGGGTTTGGTGCCTTACTATTTTGTTGTGGGTAATTTAAAGGGTTCTGGGCTCTACCCTGATTTAACTTTTGCTTAAATTCATGCATAACCTGCTGGTTTGATACAATAGGTATTAAATTATTGTGGAGATTTGATATATTTGTGTTGTGCATAACATTATTCGCGAAATCTTGATAATTTCCTTTATTCTTAGAAGTTTGGGGTGGATTTGTGTTAGGATTGGAGTTATTTTGGTGTTTCGTTCGGTCATTGAAGGTTATTTCGTATACACCTTCTTGTTGCTATTTGTTAGAATTTTTTATACTGTCGTTATGTCATGTCTAGCAAGGGTCGTAAATAACCTATCGGGCAATTTTCTCATGATCACATCTTTAACTGTGTTGTTTAATGCATTTCTGTATTTGACGTTCTGTTGTTGACGTTATTTTCTAGCATAAGCTTATTTGATATTGTGAATGATTTAGTTTCTAATTCTTCGACGAAACTTACGGATTCTTCCGTTGAAGGGTGTATTGTAAAGGCGACGGAGTAATTCTTCACATGGTATTTGCGTTTTATATTCGCTGATGAGTGCGTTCATTAGAGTTGGCCAGGTTGTTGCTCTAGATAATTGTGACACTCGTTGGGCATCTCCTGCGAGCTGCATCTCTATTGTGCTGAGGAATACATGTTTTTGTCTGGGGTCCGTTGTTGGATACAGTTTGAGTATGAACTCTACCCTTCGTATAAAGGCACTTGGGTGTCTCCACTGAATGAAGGTATTTGCCTAATTTGATCTAAGGCTTGATTCAAGTGGGATTCTCATAATAGTTGGATTTGTTCGGTTGCCATGGTTGATTTTGTTTCTGTAGACTCTTTTGGTTTTTTGTTTTTACACTTTTATTAATCGTATGCAGTAGGTTGACTATTGTGTGACAACCACCGACTATACGTAGTTCTTTTGCGGATAAATAGAGTTTATTGTATTACGATTTACGTTACGCTTATGGTAAGATACGCTTGGTCATACAAGGATCTTTTGTCACTAGATTGATATTTGTAAGCGAGTCGTACAACTTTTTCTTTTTATCCTACCGACTGCGTCACTTACGAATTCAGACCGAGGGTTTAATAAAAAAAAAAACACGATTGAGTTTTATATTTTATTAAACCTTTTTATTTATTCCATTTAAGGAAAGAACTAGAGCCATTTGATTATCACTAAGTTGGAAGTTTAAATCGGCTTTAGCGGAGTTATCGCGGTTGATAACGTACTCAGTACTAAACTGCTGCATGGAAGCATGCTTGCTGATTTATAGGCAATTTGGGGTAGCCAAAGAGCGAAGAGAGTTGGGTTGTAAACCTCTATTTTCCTGTTGGAAGAGAGTCTTGTCCTGGGATAAGTGCGTAGGCGTAGGTGCCGATCGCGAAAGTTTATTATTTCAGTTGGCTCGCCAAGTGGTCGAATGCAAATGATTAGGGGACGAGAGTCTGTGTTTATAAAGGCGGCAAGTGTCTATGTTTATGATAAGGCGACAAGTGTCTATGTTTATGATTTGCGATCTGTGAGAAAGGAACATGACGCTGTGTCCAAGGTTAATCGAAGGGCTCTCGTTCTTTGATTACATTTTGTGCTTAGACTTAGATATTTTGTGTTTATACATTAATGTGTGTATATGAGCTTATACTAGTGTATGTTGCTTATAATTATCTTATGGGGAGTTGTGGGTGTAATAATGAATATGTTAGTATATGTATGTATATATGTAGTTGCACATATGTATATAGTTTTACTCTATGAGGAACGGGTATAGCAAGAAGATGCTAAAGTCGAGTTTCTCCACCCGTTACTCAGCTACTGATAGTACAAAAAGAAACATATTTTGAAAAATATAGTTTAGTTCCTTGACTGTTAGATACCTCTTACTCAGCTAATGGGAGGAGTACGTAGGCATAAACTAGAATTTGGAAAGTAAACTAAATTTCAAAAGTGTAGGCGTGACAAATTTGTGCGGTTTTTGGGAGTCATAGTTTATTAATTTCATTATTATTGTAGTGCCAAATCTTTATGATTACCAGAGAAAATTGATAACATTATAAACGCATTTATTTTTTTAATATTCCTGCTGACATTAACCTACATACATTTGTTTTTTAAGAAGACGCATTAGACTGGGTGGCACGCCTCTATTTTGGGACGAACTTTTCTAAAGATTTTTATAAAGTTTGAAATATAATGGCGCAATATTGCCCATGTTAAGAAAATTCAGCGAAGTATTTATACACAATTTAAATATATTTTCTGTGAGCTCGCTAAGACGTTTTTAAAACGTTTCAAAACGTGGATAAATCTTCTCGAAAATAATAAAAACAAAGCTCTCTTGCATACTGAAAATTTTAAAGTACGTACGTGATTTGACCTTTGAGGCGTTTGGCAGTTTTCCATCCCATCAAATTGAGCCACTGATAGGGAAGTCATTTGAACACTTTTATTTAAAGCCATTTAAAAACGCTGTGGAAATATTTTTTTAATAAACATTTTGTTAGCATATTCTTAGCCATAGGCGATCTTAACAATTCAAGTCAGGCATAACTATACTAGCATTACACGTTGATGTGTATGCGTAATTGAGTGAAGTGGTATACATTTTAGATCAAAGTGGATAAATATTGTAATACTTAAAATAAAGAAAAACTCATTAAAAATAAGTTAACATTATTATAATTAAGAGAACAGGAAATTATAATTATTTTTACTAAAAAAAAAAAAAAAAGTATGGAAAGTTTATGCTTCTCTGCTTTTGCATTTATAAAAAATGCACTACTCAACAAGGCTTAGATGCTTTTTCTGTTAATATAATTAGTAATCAATTTGAAATCAACGACCCGAAAGCTTTTTGACTGGTCTATCACATAAAATGTTATGTATAGATTACTTGTAATCAATAAATTAGGGTAGTTGCAATAAGTGCACCAAGATAGTGTAAAATAATAATATGAAAAGAAATCGAACACTCTTTTAAAAGTGTGGATGTTAAACTCATGCACAGTTTATGCATATTTAATCTCTATTTTAAAATTCCCGATATCACAAAAGGGTATAAAAACTGCACTATACTGAAACTTTGATTTCTTTTATATTATTTTAATTATTTTCCGATTGTTCCAATGTTAATCAAGTTAAAATCGAATCTATGAATTGCAAAATACCGAAATACAACAGTTTAAGATCAACTTCAACAAAGATACTTCCAGCCCGTTCCGACTTATAAATAAAATAAATACAATAAAAATTGGGCGTTATGAAAGTTTAAAACTGAGAGACTAGTTTGTGAAGAAACGTACAGACGGAAATAACTTAGTCTCCTTTACTGCGTTGCAAATGTCTATTTTGGTCTTGTTGTCCCAGTAATTAAAAACTTGCTTTAAGTTGAGTAACCCACATTTTTATACATTAGACAAAGTATTTCAAAGTATTGCCACGGCTATATACCATTTTAGTAAATATTTTTAGAAATACAACTGTATCGTATAAAAAACAAGATAGAATGCTATAGTCGAGTTCCCTGACAATTACATACTCAGCTAGTGAAAGTGCAAACGTGAAATTTCAAAATTTTCTGAAATATCGGTAAAAAGTGGGAAAAAAATATTAAAATGCAAAAAAATTAAAAGTGTGGGCGTAAGAGTTTTAGGCGGTTTGTGGGCCTTAGAGTGGGAGTAGCAAAATTGTTGGGCAAATCTATAGAAATTTACAAGATACATATATAAAAAGTGAAAAATATCAAAAAATTTTACTCTACGAGTAACGGGTATAACAAGAATATATCCTTCAGCGGCAACGATCTGAAACAGAATTGCTCAGCGTGGGCGTCACTAGAATAAGCATATCTAATCTCAACTTTCTATTTTTTATAGTCAGTTCTCAACATCGTGACAAAAATATTTATACTTAATAGGGTCGGAAAGAATTCCTTTTGCATACTTATAAAGAAAGGTACATGTTTCTTTAAAACTGAAAGACTAGTTTGCGAAAAATCGTACAGACTGAACTGACTGAAATCAATATACCCTCAGCAAGGGTATAAGGAGGGAAATTTTCTAAATACATTAGTATTAACTTATACTACAAATTTATTCGTAACGTGAAAACTCCCTTATTCAATTATAGAATGCGTGTGAATAGCATAATTGAAAAGGAGCCTGTCCCTGGAGACCATTTCGTTAGAGATAATAAGGTTAGCAAAAAAGTTATAAAGTACAGATTGTTAGGCTTAATGCCTTTGTTACTACATGCCCACGCTTAAATTGCAAACGGCAAGCGAAACAAATGATTACGGTATTCCTTAACTTCTGGGGAATCCGAGGGTTGAACGAATTACAAACCAGTGAGGTAAATAATGACAAAATTATGTTAGTATTTAGAAAAACGGCAGATTGCTAACAATCTGGCAGATGTACTCAAACTTCCGATCAAAATCGAGTAAGCAGGGACGAGTGCCTGAGGTTTAACGCATTAAAGGCGGGGTTGTTTGCAAGAGTGAGCTTCAAACATTTTTTTAACATTCACATTTCACATACTATTTATATACAGCAATATAGAGCGTTATTTAATCTAAACTTTCTAGCTTTCATAGTTCCTCAGACTCTTACATACGGGCATGGCCAGATCGTCTCGGCTATTGATCCTAATCAAAAATATATGAGATTGGTGTATACGAAATTAGAACATTAAAAATTATTAAAAAGTGAGAACAATTATATAAATCACTGGGAACGGAAGGCCTGTAGTGACGAATCGCACCGGGAGAGTATTCCAAGGCGACTACATACATATACATACACTGAGGAATGAAAATATTTTAAATGAATCAAACTTGGAATTATAAATATCATAAATCATAATCATAAGTATAATTTTAAATCGTCCTTTCAACGATATATAAAAAAAGTGGAACAGCTTCAGGGTTTCAGGAGCTATGTCAGTATGAGACTTAGCTATTTATAGATTTTGTTCGGGAATTGAAAACTCGCGTTATACGGAAATACACCAAAATGTGAGTATTTTTTGAATGGGTCAATCGGATTTTAACAATTGAGGTGTCCATCGATGCGAATTTTAAACAAGAAGATAACCACCGGACAACCACAGCAGACTGTCACATACTCTTCTGGACCTCTTCGTCACTACGTAGACAGCCACTGTGATATCGAACAGTAGCCGTCGGACGAAAAGGAAATAAATAGAAAAATCTACATCGATTTTTTTATTGTAAGTATGAAGATATGATAATTAAATCTGTAAGCTTGGACAATAAAAGGTGCAAACCGCATTTGCAACGTGAATTCAATTATCCCTAATTAATTTGAGTGGTTGTTTACTCCTGGGAGTGCCTCAAACTTTCACTTCAATTGCTTGTCCAGGTTTCATATTTCAAATGGGAAGTGTGTACTCGTCATCCAATTGTACATATACGCCTATTAAAATCGAAAACGATTACGTTTTGCAAGTTCCGGGGGTTGATTTCAGAAGCATATGCCTTTTGACGATACAAATTCAGATACTGGGGTAGATAAAAAATGGACTAAAATACCCACTGATGAGTTGGCAATAATTCGCTTGACTGGGTACTGTCAACAGGCAAATAATAGGTGTTCTATTTGAGGGCGGGCAAACTTTACAACTCAGCTTGTCGCTGCTGGTACCGGTCCCAGTGATGGCCTTTTGTTTACACGTAAAACGTCATGCATATTTAATTGGGTTAAATTGCTTGACGATTAACATTTGAAAATGAAATGTGCGGATAATTGAGTTTACCTTGACTAATTATTTTTGCTTTTGAGGCTAACGGCTTGCATCCGTGAAACAGTAAATGTACTAAATTACTAGTAACTCCCAAGTGAGCTCAATTTTCAATATTGCTTTAATGTGAGAACATATATTGTTTTTAAAATGCTTTCATTTTGCAATGAAAGTTAATAAATAAAACTTCCTATTTTCGTGGCAATTCACTTAGATTAACGTGTTTATAAGTTTATAATATTTATACGAAACAGGTTTTCGTTTCTAAACTTATAATAACATACAAATAGCGTCCACCAGGATCATAAGCTTTGTCTGTTATTAACGCCAAGAATTTAGAAGCAATAAGAGCTTTTTTTTACTGGCATGCTCGTCAAAATTTCCAGAAATCACTTATTAGCGATTTTTAAGACTTGGTTAGAATGAAAATATAGCTTTTACTGGTAAGCGATAAACTTTTGCCGCGGCCTATATACCATTGCAGTAAATATATTTGGAAGTACAACTGTATCGCAAACAAAAACAAGAATATACCCTTCAGTGGCAATGATCTGAAACATAATTGCTCAGCGTGCGCGTCACTAGAATGTCTAATCTGTCAACCAATCTCACGAGTAATGGCAAGTGCTTAATAAGGTTCCTTCCTTAATTCCTTAATTATACCCGTTACCGTAAGGTAAAAAAACCTTAAGCAATACTCTACTTCTAATCCGTAATCTAAACTAATCCCTAATAGAAAAAACTTAAAATAATATCACAAAATAACTAAGTTCCATTTAATTAACTTATTAAAAGGGATAATAACATTTTCAAAATAATTATGTAAGACTTAAAACATTCTAATCACTACTAAATAGTAAATGGTAACAATCATTGGAATCAATGGAAATCATCATAAATTGGTAACATTATAAAATATTCAAAATAAGACTAAATATTATAAGAGTATATGTAAATACGAATAAAAAAAATATATACAATATAAATATATTTTTTTTAATAACATAACCGCTTTATTACAAAAATTTTTTAGTTTAGCCTTTTCATGCATTTTCTATTGAAGTGTGTCGAATTAGAACATTTTTGATATTGTATATTTATATTTGAATAAATAATCAAAGTTGAAATCAGCACTTTTGTTTGTTATAGGTTCAATCGTCACTAGTTAATACCTAAGAGGTGTTTTTGTTTCATAGCAAAAGTTTTTAAAGGAATATTTTAAGTAAGTTTTCAAATTACCATATAAAATTGATTTTTATATCCGTTATTCGTATAGTAAAATGGTATACTAGATTCGTTGAAAAATATGTAACAGGTAGAAGGAAGCATTTCCGATCATATAAAGTATATATATTCTTGATCAGGATCAATAGCCGAGTCGATCTGGTCATGTCCGTCTGCCCGTAGGAACGCCCCGATCTCAGGAACTATAAAAGCTAGAAAACTTTCTAGCTTTTAAGAAAGTTTAATTTAAGGAGGTTAAGCAGAGACATACCCGCGCCGCAATATTGTTTCCAAATGTTGCCACGACCACTCTAGCGCCTACAAACCGCTCAAAAAATGTTTTGAAATTTTACCAGTTTATTATTTGTCTTTCCAATTTATATATCCTAATCTAAAAGCCGCCCACAACTTTCACACACTTTTGAATTTTTGTATATATTTTTAATTTTTAATATTAATATTTTTTTTTGCCAATTTTTATCAATATACCATAAAGAATGTTGAACTTTTTCGTTCGCTCTCGCACTAGCTGAGTAACGGGTATCTGAAAGTCGAGAAACTCGATTATACCGCTTTCTCCTGTTTTTCATTTAATTGTCGTTTTTCCCTATTTCTGTCGATATTCCAGAAAAATGTGAATATTTCAATTTAGCACGTTTACTAGCAGAGTAGCGGGTATCTGATAGTAGGGAAACTCGGCTGTAGCGTTCTCTCCTGCTTATATTTGTAGTTATAGAATTCAATGTAGCAATAGAAAAGAATCTGTGACAATTTTTTTTGGGGTTTAAGACACTAAAGACATTAAAGCCGCCACACAGACTCGCGTAACCCTTCTATTTGTTACATACATTGCAAAGAATCTTATATACCATTTATCTCTATAAATATGGTGTATAAAAATGTTGTTAAAAATGTTGCATCGTTTACAATTACATATATGTAGGGTCACTTACCGACTTCATTTTACTATACTCGTATAGTCGCTTTGCATTATTTTAAACAACGATGAGCACTCCCGCCGTTGTTAACGCAATTTTTTGTATTAATACAAACCACTTTCTTTGTTTGTCCTAACATTTGTTATATAGCTTTATGAAAAAACTAAACTATTAATTTGTTTGTTTTAAACATTCTCTCCAATGTTATGATATATTTGATATGCGTATTTTTTTTCAATGCGTAATCATTCTGATTATTGAAGTTACATCTTTTATCTTAGATACAAGAAAGGTAACACTCGATTTTTATTAAACAATTTAACACACGACCGTTACTTTCTCTGAGGACTAGATTATTGCAACACGAAAAAGGTGCGAAAACTGAATGAGAAACACCATATTCGTTGGTATTGACATCGTTTAAGGAAAAAGCGCAGGAGTGAGAAACCGATACCGAACCAGCTTGTGAAGTTCTAAGATCAAAATACTCTTGACCGCTTATCAGCCAATAAGAGACCGAAAGCAAATGATACACCACAGAAGAAAAGGAATATATATATATACTAGAAAAAACAAACCAATACGAATCAACCTATCCCAATTTCGAGGGCGTTACCAAAAGTACGCGCCTGCGCTATTCTGTAAATAAAAGTTGCCATTTTAACCCTGTGTTTCTACAAGTATGTAGCGAAAATTGAAACGTTTGAACTGTTGAATGTTGTTTTTAATTTAATTAACTTTACCAATGAATTTAGGTAACGATAATTGAATTTAATTAGCATGTTAAAGCATGTGTGTGCAGAACATGAGTTATTTTTCTCTCACAATCCATGTATAACTGACATTTTAAAGCAGCGCTTTAATACAAAAGTATTATTAACATTCATGAAATGGCTGTAACTGTTCTAGGAAAACACAAGATTGAATGCTATAGTCGAGTTCCCCGACTACCAGATACACGTTACTCAAGTACTGAAAGTGCAAAAGAGAAATTTCAAAATTTTCTGGAATATCGGTAGAAATGTTAAAAAAGTTCAACATTTTTTAAAAGTGTGGAAGTGAGAGTTTTGTGCGGTTTGTGGGCGTTATAGTGGGCGTGGCTAAAAGTATTTTGGCAAATACATAGAAATTTACAATATTTATTTAAGAATTAAAAAATATCACATTTTTCAAAAGTGTGGCGTGACAGTTTTGTGCGGTTTGTGGGCGTGGCAACATTTGTAAACAACTTGCGCTGCGTCTATGTCTCTGGAAGCATAATCTCAACATTCTAGCGTTTGTAGTTCCTGAGATCGAGGCGTTGATACGGACAAACGGACAAGCGGACGGATGGACATGTCCAGATAGACTCGGCTATTGATCCTGATCAAGAATATATGTACATAATCTCAACATTCTAGCGTTTGTAGTTCCTGAGATCGAGGCGTTGATACGGACAAACGGACAAGCGGACGGATGGACATGTCCAGATAGACTCGGCTATTGATCCTGATCAAGAATATATGTACATAAATACCTTATATGGTCGGAAACATTTCCTTCTGCCTGTTACATACTTATCAACGAATCTACTATACCCTTTTACACTACGAGTAACGGGTATAAGAAGATAGAATGCTATAGTCGAGTTCCCCGACTACCAGATACCTATTAATCAGCTTGTGGGAGTGCGGACGAGAAATTTTCAAATTTTTCTGGCATACCGATGGAAAAACAACAATTAAATGAAAACAAATTTAAAGGTGTTTTAAAAGTGTGAACGTGGCAGTTTCTGAGCGTTATAGTGGACGTTGCAAAATACTATTTGGCAAATCGATAGAATTTACAAGGTTAATAATAAAATGAAACTATATCAAAATATTTTTTTTGTTTATTAATAAGTGTGGGTGTGCAATGAGTTTTTTGGCAAGACTAATAAAAAAATTTAAATATATCAAGACATTTTCCAAAAGTGTGGGCGTGGCAGTATTGGGAAGTTCGTTGGAAATTTACAAGACTAATACAAAAAGAAAAAATATCAAAACATATATTTTAAAAGTGCGGTTTTAGGCGGTTTTGTTGGGTGTTAGAGTGCCCGTGATAACTTTTGAAATCAAACTTGTGACGCGTCTAGTCTCTGGAACCTGATTTAATTCACTTTCGAGCTTTTATAGTTTTTAAGATTGCAACGTTCATACGGGCAGACGGACATGGCCAGATCGACTCAGAAATCTATACTGCTCAAGAATATATACATATACACTATACTTTTCAACGAATCTGGCCTAGTATTCAGGCCATACAACGGGCGTCCAATAAAAATAACTTCATATATAAGTGCGCACAAAATTTTAGTAGCTAAATTTTGTTCGAAGCCTTTGGACAGTAGTATTTAAGGCGACAAAAAAAAAAATGGTAGGTACCGTCAAAAAAATACATAATTTTATACATTTATTTTTTTTTTCTTAACATTGAATAAAATCTGAAAATGAGTTTTGATCATTCATAAAAAATGCTGCAGCCATAGCAACTACTATAGCATTAGTTTCAATATGTTTATTTACCATATCCTTGTTTACATTTGAGTTCTTAATAGTTATGTATTTTGGTTTAACCGGTGAGACCGTAAATGTGCGGGAGACCAAGATGTATATGACTGACATATGTGCGTCAAGCTAGCGTCAATGAGTTAGCGGCGATTATGGAACAGTGAATTTGTAACATGGGGACATTTCGTTGTTAAGCGGTGAATTCAACAAAAAAAATGCAAATATGTTAAGATAAAAGATCTATTTCTCTATATGCGACTTAAGTTTAAAGGGATCAAGAAAGTATTTAAAATATGCAATTGAAAAATCGGTTTCCCACTTTTAAGGAATATCTCATCTCGCAAAGCGTGTTCCAAAATGAACGCTAGAGCACCTTGAAGGACATTTCGGGAAAAATTAAAAAGAAATTATCTACGAATTTTGAGATAATATCATAACAGTGGGTCAGGCTATAAACCAGTCCATACATAAGAGAGCACCTGAAATTAATTTTATTTTGTGGTTAATCACAGATCATGTTCCGGATTACCATGCTTATAGGTTTAAGTAGGCCTAATTAAGTAATGATCCTAAAAAAATTCATCAAAAAATTATTCACAATTTTCCATGAAAATCACAGTGCGAAGAGTTTAAAGGTATTTGAAAATGCCGGCATCTCTAATACAAGTACCACAGCCAATTCAGCCAATTTAAGATTTCTGATGTGTGTTAAATTAGCGTCGATGAATTGACGGCGATACGGAACGGTGGAATCTGTAACATGGGGATGTTTTTTATTTATTTATTTTTTCGGTATTTGGAAGTGAATTCCGAAAAAATACAAATGCAAAAGTGTTAGGAAAAGAAAGATCTAACTATCTATGTGCGACTTATGTTTATAGGACTCAAGAAAGTATATAAAATATGCAATTAAAAAATCGGCGACCCACTCTTTAATATCTCCACTCGCAGATCGAGTTCCAAAATGCACGTGTTCCTTAGTAACAGTGGGAGGACTTTAAAAGCATTTAAAAATGGCGCCTTCTCTAGTTCAAGTACCACAGCTAATCCATGTCATGAACCGCCTCATTAACAGTAAGATTTCTACACTAACATCAAATATTTATTACTCTGTTCATATAGCGTGTTCCAAATCGCACGGTAGCTTAAAAGTTTTGTGATTTTATTAATTATTTATGCAAACATTTTCATTACAGTTTGATCTGTCTAATAAACATTCCGATAGTTGGCGCTAAACAGTACTGGGCAAACTATACATTCTAAAATTCATTCATTCTACTAAACAAACCGCTTCTTAATATGTAGCATCTTAACGAGAGCTGCAGCTACGAACACGTCTGTGAACACAGTAATTAATATTTGTAGTTAGGTCTTTTATACATGTATGTTGCCTCTTGTCTAGCACAGCTTCGAACACGATGAATGTAAAAACACGTGTCGTTATAGAAATGTGCCATTTCCTCCAAAAGTGTGGATCAAATTGTAATGAAACTTTTCGCATAAATAATTATTAAAATTAAAAAACTTTTAAGATACCGTGCAAAGTGAAACACGCTCTGTAAGCGTAGTTATAAATATTTAAAGTTAGCACTGAACTCTTATTGTTGATAAAGCGGCTCATAACATGGATTGGCTGTGGTAATTGTATTAGAGGAAGCGGCATTTTTAAATGCCTTTAAACTCCTCCCATTGTTTCTCGATTTTCTCGAAAACTGGATAATTTTTTGATGCTTTTTCCAGGATCATTACTTACAGGATTAGGCCTCCGGAACACGCACTGTGAACAGCCACAATATAAAATGGCATTCAAGGCTTCATTTATGTATGGGCTGGTTCATAGCTGAACCCACTGTTATGACATTATCTCAAAAACTGTTGATAATTTTTCTAAGAAATTTTCCTGAAATGTCCTTAAAAAAAAAGTCCTTTATTGTGGTTTAGCGTGCATTATGAAACACGCCGTTTTGATCGACCGTTTATCGACGTTTTGATGCATACATGTATATAAAATAAATAAATAAAAAACGTCCGCACCTTCCAATTTCAACCGTTCCTTCGTCTCCGCTTATCGACGCTGGTTTGATGCACATGCTTAACATAGTGAATTATTTTTTGGGACTGTTTCTGCCTGAATACTTGGCTTTTATATGGATTGGGCAGGGTACTTAATTGAAACAGATATGCTCCGATGTTTTTGTATATGCTAACATTTTTTAGCTATGACTTAAACACATTTATACACATCGCATATTTAAAATAATTTCATTGTTAGATTTTTCTATTTTATTATCGATTAGATTGAGTACTTGCGTAAACATTAAGATGGTAACTCAAAACATCTGCAAAGAGCGTGATGGCAACTCCCTATATGTATAGAAATAAGGATGGCAACATCGTTTAACAGGGCATTCATTGGTGGTGTTTACGTGGGAAATTAAAATAGTCGTGGGAATTTTACATGAACGAAATTCTTTCCAGTTTTTGTAGAGTTTTAGCTATTTTAAGTTTATTTGTAAATTGGTTTTAGTCTTGGTTTCAGAGCTCTATTATCAATTAGTATATTGAATAAAATGATGGTAAGTCTCCTTTTAATGTACATACATACACAAAACTAAAGATATTAAAAGGACTTTTTATTTAAAAGCAGTTGAACGTGCATCTAATTCAGCACGTCCAAATAAAAGATTTTAAGAAGTATGAAAACCAGAAATGGTAGTGGTCAAATCATAAATTCTATCAGCATGCCAACAATTTTCCGAATCGACCTTTCGTTAAAACGTTAGGAGTTGTCAATTTAATCGTAGGAGTTTCTGGAACAACAGAGGGTCAAAGGGAGCAGATAACCCTGACCAACAAACTGCGACAACGAAAAATTTTTCATCATATTTTATTGTAAATTAAAATATATTTTACTTCAAAATACATATCCATCTAACTCATAAAAGTACACAGTCGTTAATAAAAAAATAATGCTGTAAAAATATAACATTGTTGCTTTTGATAATTTTGCCTCCTGCTAATATTCGTTCTTTCGAAAGTATGTTTAAGGAAGCGTTTCCGACCATATACAAATTCCTAATCAGAATTACTCTTAGAGTAAAAGCGTATACTAGATTCGATGAAAAGTTGTAACAAACAGTATATATATTCTTGATCAGGATCAATAGTCGAGTCGATCTGGCCATGTCCTTCTGTCCGTATGAACGTCTCGATCTCAGGAACTATAAAAGCAAGAAAGTTGAAATTAAGCATGCAGCTTTCAGAAACATATACGCAGTTTGTTTCCAAATGTTGCCACGCCCACTGTAACTCCAACAAACCGCCGAAAACCACACGACCACACTTTTTATATATATTTTTTAATTTTATATAAATTTGCCAAACAACTTTTTGCCCACTCCAACGACCACAAACCGCCCAAACCTCCTTTGGAAAATTTTAATTTTTTTTAAATTGTATTTTTCACCAATTTCTACCGATTATTTTCGTTCGCACTTCCACTAGCTGAGTAACGGGTATCTGATAGTCGAAAATGGACTATAGCATTCTCTCTCGTTTATATTAAAATTTTACCGTAAAGGTAAAGGTAGATCGGCTTTTAAGGGTAGTACGTTACATAAATATATATTGCAAATGCCTCTTAATTTAATTTTAGTGCTCATAAGTTTGTTTTAGCATAGTAGTCTCTTATCGTGGAGTATGCATCGACGGAAGTAATACTTTTCATTATCTGCTTGTCGACACAAATAATAGGGTCTTTATGGCCCTTTAACAAGAATCTCGGCCTCACTGTTCGATATCAGCAGCCTGAAGCTTTTGTTATTACCTAAAAAATGTCTAATTTTGAAGCTGGTTCAAAAAAGTCGCCAGCCACAGATATCATCCTGATTAAGGTCAAACAAAAAAGCAAGAGAGATAACAATTGAAGATCACGACCGAAAGACGGGCCTGTAGTACAGCTTAGATAACAAAGAGTAGGAGATTCTACTACAAACCACAGCCGATGCCGACAAGGTTTTGAAACAAACAAAAGAGGTCAAAATCGTTACACTAAACACCCGAGCAGAGACGTGCCCTACATAGATAAATGGAAAAAAAGAATAGTCCTTAGCCAACCCCTACTTAGGGATGTGTTGTGAGGAGAGTTGAGCGCTACCCTTGAAGCAAACAATTAAAATTATGCATTGTGTGTGGATTTGTGCATGAATAAATGTGCACGATCTTCGTGTATGTATTCGCTGGTTAAAGGGCGGGACGATTATATGTCTATATGTACATATATATGTGCTGCACTTTTATACGCGTAGGTAACATGTACATATCTATGTATGATTTGATTTTAATTAAAACAAGATATAATTGAGAACATAGTTGAGATCCCCGACCATAAGAAAACCGTTACTCAGCTAGTGGAAGTGCTAACGAGAAGTTTTAACATTTTCTGGAATATCGGTAAAAATTGGGAAACAAAACAATAAAATTAAAAAAAAATTGTAACTTTCCAAAATGGCTTGGCAAAAAGTATTTTGGCAAATCTATAGATACTTACAAGGTATATAAAAAAATTAAATCACCATAATATCACATTTTTTTAAAAGTGAGTTTTGTGCGGTTGGTGGGCGTTAGAGTAAGCGTGGCAACATTTGAAAACTAACTTGCGCTGCGTCTATGTCTCTGGAAGCTGCGTGCTTAGTCTCAACATTCTAGTTTGGGAGTTCCTGAGATCGAGGCGTTCATACGGACAGACGGACGGACAGATCGACTCGGCTATTGATCCTGATCAAGAATATATACATCATATGATCGAAAACGTTTCCTTCTGCCTGTTAGATACATTTCAACGAATCTAGTATTCCCTTTTACTTTACGAGTAACGCGTATAATAAATGTTGATGAAAACTTTTAGTACACCCTTTTATTGGTCATTACTTATTTAAGTACACATATCGTACAACCTGTAGATTTTAAAAGGTTATCTGAACCAACTAACGATTACGATATTCACAAATTTGACTGTGAAACGCCAGGATGGTCGGCCTTCGGTGCGCGGAGGTCTTTAGAAGAAACACGCGTTTCATATTATTTGCCGGATACGGAAATATTATTTTAAATAACTGCGCACCATCACGAAGGAAACATGTTCCCGTGGGTTCGTCAAGGGACTGAAAGTGTGTGTATATATCCTCGGCCGTAACTACTCTTGCCCTTATTAAGTGGTAATGGGATGGGAAGAGTGTGCGTGTGCACGGGAAATTAACAAAGGAGCGTGCAGAATCTGATTCTTAATATTTGCTTATTCTCGCTTATTAATTTATTACTTGGATTATACATACTTTGAAAATATGTCTTAGTATTATAGTTTATAGTTTGTCTCAAAACCGGACTATTGGAACCTTTAATACCCAACAAACCAGCAATTTTTAAAAGGACAAGACAAGATTTACTTCTTCAAGTTGCACAATATTACATTAAGTTATCCATTCGACTTTAATATAAACAGATATTCGGTGCTGGAATGCTTTTTTTTCTTGGTTACACCTTTTAAAATTTAACGTGTCTGTGATGAAAGGCACAAAATGGCTACACTGGTTTTTGAAATATCATTTATGCGAAGGAAGATAATTTCTTAACGTATGAAGTTAAAAAAGCGTCTGTTTCCGAGACTTCACGCTAGCGTCAATTAGTAGGTATTATGGTTCCAAAATGTCGCAATCTCTGTAATTGATCCTGATCATGAATACTTTATAGAGTCGAAAACCCTCTCTATCAGCTGATACATACTTTTCAACTCTACAAGTAGCGCGTATAAAAACCTGCGCATCTGCAACTATATCGTTAGGTAAAGCTGAGAGATAAAAATGCCTTAATGTAAAATCAATCATTTTTGTTAGCTTGCTCTTCAAATTGAAATACATTGATTATTTAGAGAGGATACAGCTATGGAGCTATTGTTAATTCTTTGTGTTGCGTTGGCGACACATAGCTGAAAAGTGGCCAACCGATAGCAGAACAGCGTTTAAATCTCTATTTAGTGCACCTCGTCTCCAGCAGCGTATTACGGGTGTGGAGATTGCTTGAGTTGCTGTTTTTGAATAGGGCTGACGCTTTACATCATCATCATCACCGGCACACGGCCCTCGTCCATCCTCATCCTCGTTTATAATCGATGTTCTTGCAGCCGTTCAACCACACTGAAATAAACTTGAATTTGAATTGAGTGTAAGAATATAAACCACAGTTGTTGTATACGTACAATGATTTCATATATGTAGGAATATTTTCTTCCTATTATTAACGGTTTCCTCCGCAATCTCTATATTCTTCGGATGTTTTTCTGAGTGTCCCTAAACCAGTGCGACCAGCCACCCACCACCGCCTGCCTGCTGTTGCCAGCAAACTAGAAAGCCCGACCGAAACAGCCTTCCGCCACGTGGCGCTGACAAACTGCTTAAACACGCCATTGATGATTCAAATACAGTCTGGTTGGGTCTCTAGCCGCCGTCGTCAGACGTTCTCCCTCTTCGGGCTCAACAAATTACACACTTTGCGGCATTTTGCGCTTTTAACAATTTTATTGTTATCGATCGGCGGTCGCCAGGCTGCCAATTACCAAGTGCTAGAGCAGACAAATTCCAAATATATGGCTATACGTAGCCGGCAGTGATGCAAATGCCGTGTATTCGTCATTACGTATTTAGGCTACTTAGTACTGGCCTTGACTCTATTCCCGACAGGTGACCATTCGCTTACTTTTTCTCTTGCAAGTAAACTGGAATACTTACATAAATCGATGTCAGGTGGTACACGTGTTGAAGGGGATTAATGTGTGGTCATCGAAGGTAAGCGCAGCTGTAGCTGAAAAACAGGATTACAAGAGGATATCTTCATTGAAAATTTACTTTAAATATGTAACGCTTTCAACACGTTATATGATTTTCCAACATATTTTTAATAGACCTAAGTAAATTGTGTTAGTTGACAACTTGATTTACTTGAAATGGAACTGCATAGCTAGCGTTCTTATTGTTTTAGTGTTTCGCAATCCATAAGCCATGTGTTCTTAAGGGACTTTGTTACCCGCTGGGCGATTTTAAGGAAACTTATCATCGCATGATGTTTTCAATAATTACAGTTTATCTAGTCCAGAACAGTATTGTAATGCCTTATGCATGTATGCCTTATTGATCTAACTCAATTATATCAATACCCAGATACATATGGGCAACTAATAATTATGGGTTGTAGGTATCATAAATCATAAATTATAAAAAAATAGATGATGATCTTACGTGAAAGATTCAACATTATGACATACATACACTTTAAATTGAACAAAAAACGGCTGCCTGTTGGTGGGCAAGTCGAATGCACCTGGATTCAAGTGACAGAATTTGATGTATGCGTTTATTGAATTTATGTTGTATTTTTAAAGTAATAACGTACCAAAAAAATAGTTGACAGCAAAAATATCTATAATGAAATTACACACGATTATACCCAACGTCGTTTACAGGAATTACTCATAAGTTCTAATGAATGCTTTTAATGAATTTAAATCCCTTTTGGTGAAAATCCCATTTACACAGTCTCATTTTGGCTCTAGTAGTTTGAGTTTAGTTGTCGGCATTATAGCTAAATTGGACTTCCTTGTCTTGACTCTCTTGTTATTTAGTTCCCGAGATTTTCTCAGACAGATTTACACTTTATGGGATCGGAGTCGTTCCCTAAGACCAACCAAGGTATACTATATAGACTACCTATGTAGACTATGTAATAGATTCGTTGAAAAATATGTAACAGGCGGAAGGAAACGTTTCCGACCATATAAAATATATATTATCTTGACAGGACACCATGTCCGTCCGTCTGTCTGTATGAACGCCTCTATCTCAGGAACTACTAGAAGCTAGAATGTTGAGATTAAGCATGCTGCTTCCAGAGACATAGATATTTCTACGGATATTCCAGAAAATTTTAAAATTTCTCGTTTGCACTTCCACTTGCTGAGTAACGGGTATCTGATAGTCGGGGAACTCCACTATAGACTTCTATCTTGTTTATTTTTTACACACGAGTCCCACGGCCACACCTCCCGCCCAGCCGACCGAGGGGCACTGCGTGTATCGTAGATCGTAGAAGATAGACGCGATATAGGAATTGGTAAAGGAACGAGTAAATGTAAATATTAGTAAGATCTAATTATGTATGTGTTAAAAAAGTTAGTATTGATCGCTTTAAGAGCGGCATAGAGTAAGGATTGGATGTAATAACATAAAGTGTATTATATGATTTTAAATTAGGGGTAGCAGTTTCTAGTTAATCTGCTTGGAACAGAAAAGTTTAGCCGACTATCTAAGTCGGGACCTATAAACTTCACCACGAATCTGATTACAAATAGGGATTACAAATTAAATTAGCTAGGGAAGGTACATTTTTTTAAATTATGCTACTATATACATGTATAACAAATCTACCCGAGCAACGCAGTGGTTGAGCTTGTATGGAACCGCTGCAAAAGTACATATATAAATTTAAATTTTACTAATATGGATTCAAATTGGCCAGACCGTACCACAACATCCTGAGCTTCCCCGATAATATTTGCCACCGGAATGAATGCGTCCATTTCTTTCAGTCAAATAAGGTAGCCGTCACTATATTATTTCGTTGAAAAGTATGTAACAGGTAGAATGAATCCTTCCCAATCCTATAAAGTATATGCATATATTTTTGATCAGAATCACTAGCGAATGGATCTGTCTATCTGGGTGTCTGTGTCTGTCCGTACGAAAGTCAGGATCGCGTGAACAATAAAAGCTAGAAAGCTTAGACTCAGCAGAGTTTTACGCTGAGCAAGTTTGTGTCAGAGCGTTACCATGCCTACTCTAACGCCCACAAACCGCAGAACTATATCACGCCTACAATTCTTTTAAGTGTTTGGATTTGTATACCCGTTGCTCGTAAAAGGGTATACTAGATTTTTTGGATTAGTAACTAACAGGCAGAAGGAAGCGTTTCGGACCATATAAAATATATATATTCTTGATCAGGATCAAAAGCGGATTTAAGCTGGCCGTCCGTCTGCCTGTATGTATGAACGCCTCGATCTCAGGAACAGTAAAAGCTAGCATGTTGAGATTAAGCATGCACATTTCAGAGACATAGACGCAGCGCAATGTTTCCAAATGTTGCCTCTCCCACTGTTTTGAAAAATGTTTTGATATTCTTTAAATTTTGTATTGAAAATTTTTTTTTTAATTTCTATCGATTTGCCAAAATACTTTTGCCACGCCTACTCTTTTGCCCACAATCCGACCAGAACTGTCACGCCCACACTCTTGATACTTTTTTAGAAATTTTTTAATTTTATTTTTTTTCCCCCAATTTCTACCGATATTTCAGAAAGTGTTGAAATTTCTCGTACGGAAGTGCGTAATAGCGTAGTAGCTGAGTAACGGATGTCTAATAGTCGTGGAACTTTACTATAGCATATAATATATGTATATATATATACTGCATATATACGTATAATACGTATATAGCAAAGATATACAAGTATAAGTTTCGACTTGCCGATGGCAGGTTTCTTTTAATGTCGTATTCAATTTTAGTTCGTATTGAAAGTATCCTGTACCTTCAACTTGTTTACAGGTATGTAGCGAAATATAGTTTAAAATTGTCAGAAGAGGTTTAACGTTACTATATTATAATTTATCCGTGTGGTTGGCAACAAAATAATTGAAGAAAATTTGTGTATTAACTACTCAAATCACATTCATGCTATAACAGCAAGCAGTATAATTTAAACCTTATCTATTACTCGCAAAGGCAGCAAATTAAATTATTGTACAACAAATGTTTCGGCAATTTTCATGAATTCAAAACCATTGAGATGAAATAATGAAAATCCCAAAAAACAATCAAAGGGATACCCATACCCAGTTCTCAACCCTGGTGCATTCATTCCCTGTCATGCTTCTTTGCTTCCACCAGAAACACATCCCTAGCTCTACAAATATATTTCGGTCTGCTCCTGGACCTGACCCTTTTTGAATGTTTGACTTGAGTTTGGGGTGTCGTCTATGGACGCGTGCGTGATTGTTGGTGAGCCACACACATTTGCGTCACTTCAGCATCAATATGAAAAGTAGGCGTATCTCTACTGATGAAGTTAAATTAGCGCACTCAGTTGATCCAGGTCTTATTTATCTGAACTTTCCAATTTCTGTTACTGGCAGTTGCAGTACGGCTTCTAGGTGGGTTACTGTGATTCTGCAGACCATATGAGGCTTTGCTATACGGAAATGAGCATTTTGGGAGATTCAAGATTGGGGATTCAGAGTAATCAAATACATATTTTTGAAGCATTAAGCGATTTGACTTTGAACCTATTTTAAAAAGTTGTACCGTTTACTTGAACAGTGTTATTACAATTATTCCTGCGTTACAGTGCAGTTTCATACCGTGTTGAAATGAACAAACTCATTGTTTCATTATTTTAACAACGAATGCAATAATAAACAACACAAAATAATTTAGGCAACAATGTGATGCGCGCCCTAGGAAGACGATGACAATTACAATGAGGATTTAGCCATGGCTGCGGTGGATGGTTGTCCTCATCAGGGACACAGACTGAAGCACAAATCGCTTGGCTGTAGCCGGGGCTGCCACTTCACTGGGCAATTAGGCATTCGACTGGAAAAGAAAAAGGGGAGCTTTAGCAACAGCAGCATCAAGGAAAAATGATCAAACTAAATTTGTGAGCTCTGAAACCTAGCTTTTGCAATTGGATTTAAGTGTTAAGGCAAGATGTTACCGGTGCCGTCACTGTAATTCTCGGATGCCGTCGGCAACTGGTATTATTTCTCCAAATCGGACTCCATAATATACAGCTTTTAAAGAAATTAATTATGGTATTATTTCTCCAAATCGGACTCCATAATATACAGCTTTTAAAGAAATTAATTATCCATATACGAGTATGATAAAATTTCATTATATATTACATTAGCACAGTAAAAGATTATACCAAGTTATGTAAAAGGTAGAAGGAAGCTTTTCCGACCATATAAATTCTTGATCAAAATCACTAGACGATTCCGAATAAAGATCTCGAAGACTATAAGAACTGGAATGTTAAGATTGGGAATATTGTTAAGATTGGTTCAGAACTCGCGTTCTAACCCACAAAAACCGCCCAATCCGGTACGCCTACACTTTTGAAAAATATTTTTCTAGCCAATTTCTATCGATATACCAAAACAAAAAGCAGTCACGCCTTACATTCTGAAAAGCGTTTTTAATTTTACTAAAATGCTTTTTTAATTTCCATTGATATGACAAATTAATTTAGAATTTCTCTCTCGCACTCCCATTAGCTTAGTAAAAAAAGTCTGATCGTCTTGAGAAACTTCTCCTTTCTTAAAATTAATATCTTACATTTATAAAAATATTGTATTTTGTTTAAATGGATATTAAAAGTTTTTAAGTAATAACTTACTTAAATTTGAGTCTTTGATTAAATATAAACGCACACGGTCCCTTCTTTATTCAGTACAACAAGTGCTGTTGACAGCATCACTTTCCGCATTTCATTTTGTGTCATTAATTTTGGAGTCGGAGAAACCGCATTGTGAAAAATAACAGCTGATCCCCCTTTTCCCTTTGATTTTGTGCTCGGCATGCTTGTTCGAATCGCCGACTGGAACTAAATTGTGACATGTGATAAGAATTTTTCAGATAAATCTCGATGAACCGACGAAGTGTTGGCATATGTACCAAGTTCTCAATTTTCTTAATGCTCAGCTATTCGCAAAAGTTAATTTATAATAATGCTTTTAAGATATCTCAATAATAAATGCGTTAGGAATTTTATTTTTACAGTGCTATGTTTGCAACCCTATTGTTATTTATACATATTTAATGTTCATAAAATTATACATGGGAGTTGTAACACTTGTTTCTTTTATGTAATCTATTTTTTTTTTAACAACAATGAGCTTCACAACTACGCAACTTGCCACGATGATAATAAACAACAATGAATTTGGAATTATACGTTTACATTTAAAGCATTAGCGGATCAAGGAACTCGGCTTGTCCGTGCGACAGCCAGTTTCAAGGTAAAAATGAGCTCTGCGGCTCAAATACATAGATACCTGTAGATCTTAGTTATGAGTATCAAATTTTGTTATCATACATATTTCGGCACTTTTAAGTTGTTGTTGTTTACGTACAAGGGAATAGAATTAGATTAAAGATATAAAAGGCGCATCTAAGTTAAGTCACCTGTTTTACACAATATATTTAAAACTATGTCTTTGAGCAAGGACATACAGAGGTTTTATTTTGAAGCTTCTCTCTGGGCACATGACGATATTTAGTAGTTTGCGAATTATAATATTACATTTTTATAGCCGTTACTCGCAGAGTAAGGGTATACTAGATTCCGACCATATAAAATATATATATTTTTGATCAGGATCAATAGCCGAGTCCAACGGATCAATAGGCATGTCCGTCCGTCTGTATGACCGTCCGTATGAACGTCGAGATCTCAGAAACTACAAAAGCTAGAACTTTGAGTTTAAGGATGCAGCTTCCAGATACATAGACGAAGCGCAAGGGTGATTCCAAATATTGCCACGCCTACTTAAATGCCCACAACCACACAAAACTGCCATGCCCACACTTTTGAAAAATGTGTTTTTTTTCCATTTTTTTTTTTGTTTTGTAAATTTCTATCGATTTGCCAAAAAACTTTTGCCACGCCCTCTTCACCGCCCACATGCCGCCCAAAACTTTCATGCAATTTACATAATATATTTAAAGGCATATAATCGTAAGTATACCAAAAAAGAAAATATCATGAGTGCAATATCCAATGGTTATATGGATTTTTTGCAATTTAGACATTACGCCAAATTATATAAATTAAGGTATTTTCACACATTCCAGGAAAATCAGATTCGTCACCTTTACAATGCGCCATGAAGTTTTTGGCACACGCAATAGGAATGACAAAAAGGCGATTCAAGAATGTTTCCCTTTGAAGAACCCCAGCACACTGGATGCCGGCACTAAAATAATGGGAAATGCGAGGGGAAAGGGAAATAGATTCGTTGATGCGTGTGACTTCAAAAATCCAAAAAACGTGTCGGACAGGATGTTGAGAGCAAGTAAGCTCAGTGGTGGCTTTTTAGGGGTGGTTTAGGTTTCGAATGCTGTTACTTGGTGGTTTAAATTCAGTAAATAATATATATCGAAAATGTAAATGCAAGCAGAAGTAGCAGCGTATATGGTATATGTGTTTGCATATTTTATTTATATGTACAAATACGAACTAATAATTAACAAATATTCGAGTACGCGAACAGTCTGCGTTTACTCATTTTCACAACCATATATAAAAATGAATATACATATATAGAATGCTTTAGTCGAGTTCTCCGACTATCAGATACCCGTTACTCAGCTAGTGAAAGTGCGAACAAAAAATTTCTTCAATTTCTGGAATATCGTAAAAAAATTTAAAAAAAAGATTAATTTTTTCAAACTTGTGGACCTGACAGTGGGCGTGGCAAAACGATTTTTGCCAAATCGATTGAAATATACAAGACAAATAAATAAAAGGAAAAATTTTATAACATATTTCAAAGGTGTGGGCCTGGCAGCTTTTGGCGGTTTTAGTGGTCCACATCATTAAACTTGCGCTGCGTCTATGTTTCTGGAATCTGCATGCCTAATCTCAACTTTCTAGCTTCCATAGTTCCTGACATCTCGACGCTCATACGGACGGATAGACAGACGGACATAGCCAGATCGACTCGTCTATTGATCAGGATCAATATATTCTTATTCAGGATCAATATATTCTTGATCAGGATCAATAGGCGAGTCGATCTGGCCATATATGGTCGGAAACGCTTCCTTCTGCCTGTTACATACTTTTTAGCGAATTTAGTATTACCCCTTTTACTCTACGAGTAACGGGTATAACAACAATACAAAACATATCTAATAATACATACTTTTCAAAACCAAAAAAAAAAACCCATACATTTAGTTAAATATATTTAAAAAACGAGATAGAATACTATAGTTGAGTTCCCCCGCCGACTATCAGATTCCCGTTACTCAGTTAGTAAAAGAGCAAACGTTGGCGTTAGAGTGCGCGTGGCAAAAAGTTGCTTGGCAAATCTATGGAAATTTTTCAAAACAAATAAAAAACTGAAAAAATATCGCATTTTTCAAAAGTGGGGGCGTGACAGTTTAGAGCGTTTTGTTGTCTCTGGAAACTGCATGCCTAATCATTCTAGCTTTTGTAGTTCCTGAGATCGAGGCGTTCATACGGACAGACGGACATGGCTAGATCGACTCGACTATTGATCCTGATCAAGAATATCTATATATATCTATATGGTCGGAAACGTTTCATTCTGCCTGTTACATACATTTCAACGAATCTAGTATAACCTTTTACTCTACGAGTAACGAGTATAACAATTCAGGTCTCATGTAAGGCAAGGGTTTTTGTACTTCTGATAGTGTTTGACTATTTCAATAATTTTAATTAAATACATATTAAAAACAAATCTGGAATCAAGCCCAAGTGCCGCTACTCACGCTACAGGTAAGACAAGGCCTTATAATGTTTGACGTTTTTGAAGCCGGTACCTAAAAAAATATTTCATTACATTTTTTTGTGTTCAAAATAATCGAACTTCATTACGTACATAAAAATATGAATATTAAATAAAATAATTTATACAATAAACCAACTTCAATCACAGAACAAGAATTATTGTTAATATGCACATATAGTTTGATAACTGTAAGCATATTTATATACATACGTTGTATCCATTAACACAACCGACATCACAAATAATAATAATACTTACCTTGGAGATGGGGAAGGGCTTTTAAATGCCCAAGTCTAGTAAGCAGGTCCGTAAATAATTTGTCTTGAGTTCGTTCCATGCTTTCTACAAACAAAATTATGACACATGTTTAGATTGTAAATTATTCAGAATGTTCAGATTTTTTATAATTTTGGATATATTTATGATCAAATATGTTAGGGATTGAGAGCACTAAAGTTGATAAAATATCATCATATCCAAACATATGCATACAAAGACGAATAAGACTTATACATATACATGTCCATCTAGACTTATATGAATTCAGTTTTATTTGCCACCGTTATTATCGCTGAATCCATAAAGTTAAAGTTGCCCACGATTTATTAAACAACCAACCAAAACTTCAATAAGATTTTCGAGGGGATAGGGTACACTTTTCTTTCTTCTATAGCCATCTCCCTCCTACTCAACTCTTATTCGCCAGATGTGCGCACGATGCATTTCGTTGTAATGCCTCTCTCCCTCAAGTGTCTATAGCTATCTCTTTTCAAGGCACGGAAAACAGCACAGTTGTTAGCTACCGATGACTGCAATGGAAAAGAGACAACCAGAGCAACGCCGTCAAAATGGCTGGCCGATGTGTTAGCCGTTGCTCTTGCCAGTGTTTTTTCGCATGAGAGCTCATTAACGTTTCGCTTGGCTAAGTGCGCACCTCGTCACTGAAACCAGTTAGCAAAATAAATTTTTGTTCAAGCTTAAACCGATATCTACGTCACTATTCGATCATTTCGAATGCAAATTACTCCCAGATTAATAAACTAGGTCGCCATCCGTGGCGCTGCCGCCGGGCTGCGGACCGGAACCTTCGGCGGAAAAAATCGGGACCCTGTTTTATAAAGCCATTTATGATACACAAGTTAAAACCCTTCGTGCCCATCGTGCATACCCAAAATCAAACTCATAAAGTGAAAGTTCAGATCTTGGAAAGTAAAAAGTGATACATGTTTAACAGTCTGCCGAATTTGATTCATAAGCAATGACCAATTGAAGTGATAGTCTGGAGATTGATTACCAGGTGAAGAAGATTATTAATACGAAGTACAAAGTTGGCAACGAAAACACCCTCTTCTAACAACAATGAAAAATGAAGTACTCCTGCTAGCGCATTACCAACAATAAACATACGCACATATTCGACCACATCAGCCACCATCGAAGTCTCCAACGGCACATTAAAACTAATTAATTATGATGCTAACAACTGAACACATAATGCATGGGCACCCCCACTCGTCGGTAGGACAGAGTACTCTATTTGGGTGCTCCACGGCGGGTCATAGCGGCATAAATCAGCTGGGCGGCGTATATGTTAATGGCCGGCCACTGCCCGACTCGACGCGTCAAAAAATTGTAGAATTGGCTCACTCCGGCGCACGTCCTTGTGATATTTCAAGAATACTGCAAGTGTCCAACGGTTGCGTAAGCAAAATTTTGGGCAGGTGAGGCATTTTGAATGCATAATGACATTTTCTTAACTCAACAGGAAGTAAGGCAGTAGCCTCCTAGAAACATATTGCTGTGCGGACTTTATTATAGATCGTCGGCGTTACAGCCAGGGACTGATTATTTCGTATCTTATAGTTGTTATAGTATTGGAGACATTTTCGAGCATATAAAGAACATATGTAGACCTATCGATGTAGCCATGTTGGCCCTCCGTGTATGGCCGTTCATGCGCGACAGTTTTCAAAGTTTTAGGGCAATCGACATGAAACTTTCCGAAAAAAACTTGTTTATGCTTCAAATGGTATCAAGATAAATCAGAATGGATCTGCTCGGACCACTATATCAAATAGCTATGGAATACTTAAAAAAGTGGGACAGTTTTTTGACAATTTATAATTTCAAAATCGCTACCAAAATCTCTGTAACTTATTTTATACCCATTACACGTAGAGCAAAATGGTTAAAAAGAATGTAAGAAGAAGAAGGGAGCGTTTCCGACCTTATAAAAAGTATATGTTCGTGATCAGGATAATCTGACCATATCTGTCTGTCCGACCGTATAAGATCTCAGGAACTATAAAAGCTAGAAAGTTGAGGTTAGATATGCAGATTCCAGAAACATAGACGCAGCACAAGTTTGTACTCATGCTGCAACGCTCACAAAGCGTACACTCCCACACTTTTGAAAAATGTTCTGATAAATTGTAATTCTGGTGTTAGTCCTGTAAATTTCTATCGATGTTCAAAAAACCTTTTTGCCACGCCCACAAACCGCCCAAAACTGTCACTTGCAAAAATTAAAAATTTTTTTTTCTATTTTACAAAGATTTGAAATATTCTAAGTATTTTCATGGCTGTAATTAACAAAATTGTTGTTCAACAAAATAGTGAGATACCAAAAAGCTGATCTTCATTTTTATTCCCTACTTTTTTTTTAATATCATTTCTATATATTTTGTACTTTAATAAAAATGTTTTATAATATATATGACAGTTATTTAGAAAACGATATATGATATCGGCGTCCTGGATTTTTCCAGAATTTTTTCTTGTATTGCTATTCGGGACGTTTTGAAAATCATTTGTTATGGGTTTAAGAGCTTCCTTGGACACCATATCAATTCAAAGGGAAAAACAGTTTATATTTTTTATTCATAAATGAATTGTTTAACTAAAGTTTCGGCAGTTAGCATATAGATAAAATTAGAATTCCTACGAATTTATTTCGTACCCACAAGACAATATTCGTAAGACTATGCGTAATGCGTTATTATATGCGTTAAATCGTACATTAAATTATAACTTACTTAGCTTATGTTATTCGAGCAAGAGAACTCGGTTTCTAGAAAAACCGCTGGTACATTGTAAGTACAGTACATTGTTATGTTCACTAGCAAATGCATTTCTTCCCTTAGCTTCTAATTAATACTTCTTTAACTAACCATTTTTATTTGGAATTGTATATGCAATTGCAAAAAAATCATATTTAATTAAGTTTCCATTAACAGAAAAGAACAAAGTATGTATCAGTTAGAAAAAAGCATTTCGGTACGGTACCGGCGTTTTGCCCTTTAGCAGCTGTATTTGACTAATTCCATGTAGTCCATAGTCCATAGGCCAGAATACATAAATATGTCAGTGCTTAATCAACAGAAAATTAATGTTGCCGGTAGTTTGCATTATCTTACCGCTAAACTCTTCGACGGCGTTAAGTATTGAGACCACCGTATCTGATAACGCATATTCGGTAGGGCATGACAATTTGCAGACTTGGCTTATATTGCACCACTACGAATTATCTATTTGTGGTTTCCAACACTTTCGGAAGATGAGACTACCAGGGGTTTTCGAGAACAGTTCTGGGTTGACTCGCACCTTAAAGCTGTCCGTACTGCTTCTTATATTTTCCCTAAACATTTACATATTTTGAACGCTAAAAGGTAAAAGCAGTTCTATATTAAATACTTTAAAGTTAGACTGAGTCCGGGTGAGTGTAACAAGTTCTATTTTATTCGGACTTGTTGTTAATACACCTAATTACCAATATGAGTGAACTAACAAGCCCAACCCTGTATAAAAATAACTTAGATTTGTAAATTTCCTAGAAACTCGAGTTTCACACAACAAAGAAGCACTTTTGTAGAGCGCTTTCTAAAACATATATTTTGTGTAACCGCTTACAGCCGATGATCAGCTGAACGCAAGGCTTATAAAATGCAAACAAAAAATATAATCAAGGCATCTACATCGATTTGTGAAAAACAATCAAAGTTTTTCTTTATTTGAAAATCTGAATTAAAGCCCGCTAGCACTACCTAATTCTTCTTTTCTTAACCATTCGATAATATTACACAGGAATCAAAATTATGTAAAAAAAAAAATATATTTTTGAAAAATCATAGGATTTTTACATGGTAAAAATGTTTTTTACATAGTATGTAAAAAACAGAAATCTTGAAATGATTGATTAGATTGTATTTTGTATACTATAAATGTATATACCTATCTAAAATGTAAATATGCTTCTTTTTATTTTTAGATATTATGAAACAGGATCAATAAAACCTCGAGCGATAGGTGGTTCAAAGCCACGCGTAGCTACAACCCCGGTCGTACAAAAAATTGCCGATTACAAACGGGAATGTCCCAGTATATTTGCGTGGGAAATACGAGATCGACTGCTATCGGAACAAGTTTGCAATAGTGATAACATTCCAAGTGTAAGTTATACTAGGAACACATAAGAATATTTCTGCACTTATTGATAAAAGTGCAAAACCACTTAAGAGAAGAAACAATTTCAATTTCACAAAAAAACCCTATAAAATATATGTATATATTTTTGATCAGGATCACTAACTATAGATGCAATTTCGATTAATACCGAAGCCCACTCTAATACCCGCAACTGCCACTACCACCCTTTTGAAAAATGTGTTGTTTTTCATTTTATTAGGATTCTTGCTCATCGAAATGCCAAAAACATTTTTGCAACGTCATTTCTTTTAAAAAATGTTTTGACTTAATTTTCATATTTGTATTTGTCTGGCCAGTCGATCTAAAAATAATTTGGCCACGTTGAGCTGATGTAACAGATAGAAAGAAGCGTTTTCGACCATAAAAAGTATACATACATATATTTTTTTATTATTATTATATATTCTTTTTATTACCTATTCCCATATCCCAGAAAATGTGGAAATTTCTTGTTTACACTTCCATTAGTTGAGTAACGGTTAGCTGATAGTCGGGGTCAGTCTCTTTTTTTTATTTTAAATATAATATCTAATCAAAAAAATAGATTAAAAACAAGATAGAATGCTATAGTCGAGTTCCCCGACTATTAGATTCCCGTTACTCAGCTAGTGGACTGCAAACGTGAAATTTCAAAATTTTGTTGAATATCGGTAGGAATTGGGAAAAAATAATTAAATGAAAAACAAGATAGAATGCCATAGTCTAGTTCCCCGGCTATCAGATACCCGTTACTCAGCTAGTGGAAGTGCAAACGAGAAATTTCAAAATTTTCTGGAATATCGGTAAAAATCGGGGGAAAAAATAATAAAATGAAAAAAAATGTCTCTATAAGCCGCATGCTTAATCTCTGGAAACTGCATGCCTAATCATTCTAGCTTTTGTAGTTCCTGAGATCGACGCGTGTATACAGACGGACGGACATGGCCAGATCGAGTCGGCTATTGATCCTGATCAAGAAGATATATACTTTATATGGACGGAAACCGGTTACATACTTTTCAACGAGTCTAGTATATCA